GGCCTGGTCATTGGCAGAACACAGGCTGCATCTGAGAGACCCTTCTCTCTCAGTGCTAATGGGTAAGCTTTACATGAGGGTGTGTCTCAACATGCTTTGAAGAAGTCCTGATTTTACCTCGCGGGACTTTTTGTAGATTTTGGTGCATGCACAATAGTCAAAAGTTTTGTGTTAGATAGATGGAATAAAAGAATCTTGGATGAAATTCTGCTGTCAGGTGCAGTCATAAAACTCTTATTTGAATTGTGCATGCATGTAGTAAAAAAAGACTTTCACTCTGTATTGTGAAGGCTCATCTTAACAGTTAATAAGGAGTAAAGTTTAAAGACTGTAGAGAGAAAGGGAAGGGTGTTATTTGGAGTGGTATGGAGAGATGGAGGAGTAATTAGTTGAAATAGGTTGAAGATGATGCTGAGTGAAGTATTGAGAGAAAATGTTCTTCTGTGGAGCTCTGTTAGGAAGCATAGAAACAGTATTAGAAGAAGCTTTATTACTTCAGGCCTTAAAAATTGAATTGTGTAGAAAACTTGCAGCCATATACTAGTGAACTAACAGTGACCTGAACTGCATAACTTGGATTTTCTTGCTATTTGTTTTTATTATCTATCATTTATATGCAGTATTTTTATTTATACGTCTGTGATTTCAGTCATCCCTGGATCTTCTCACATACTGTTGTGTTCAATAATACTTCCTCTAGAATGTTTCTGTTCAGCATATGCTCAGTAACTCAACCTGTACAGACTTGAGTGCATGCGTGCAATGTTTTATCCTCATAGTTGTTGCAGGACTCTACCTTTTCATAAGTTCTGGGTTATTTTTGTGGGATTTTGGAGGAAGATGTTTGCACCCCCAAATAAAATTCCTTCATAAGTTCATCTAAACAAGATTTTTTTTTTTTCCCAAACATTGACTTTAATAATCGCTGCTTTCCAGAGCAAAGTGGGAGGAGGGAAAAAGAAAATGGAAGGAAGACAAGGAGAGGGTTCTGTGATCCAGCTCACTGTATGGCTACACATATGCTCCTATGCTACTGTCAGCACAAGATAGAGAGTGAGAAGGAAGGATGGACAGGCCTGCCACTTCTGGCTGCAGCCTTGGCTCATGTTAGAGCAATAAGCTCACTTTGACCTGAGTTGTTTTTATGAGACTGGAATAGCATTTCATGATTTTGCAGATATATCTACATCTAGCCCTGGTAGTTCAGAGACTTAAGATGTAGATCTCTGTGGACCTCTGTGACTGACTCATATGACATTAACTATTCCCTTATTTTCCTTGAGTTGATGTTGTCACCGCTATTGAGTACCTGCATGTTTTTTTCTAACTGGCTTTTCTTTTACTGAAAACTGGACTAATATTATTTTAGCAAGTGGACTGTGTTGTTGTTTTCCTCTTGTTCAGTATGTTTCCTTCTCTTTTAGCCTTCTCTCTTTTTCTTTCTTTTTTCATTTTTTTCTTTCCCCTTGGCATCACGTGTATCTTGCATACATAGATAACAGAGTTTATTAGAATTCTCTGAGTTAACAAATAACTTTAAGGACAATGTACTTATCTTGATTTGATTAGGTTCAAGCCAAGTGTTACCAGCTTCTGCTTTCTGTGTTCCAACACACCAATCGTGCCCTGTCAACTCCATATATTCATTCATTGGCCCCCATCATGGTTGAGAAGTTGAAAGCTGTGGAAAGGAGCCGCCCGAACAACAACCTGGAGCTGTTAGCAGTCCAGGAAGGAATTAAAGTCCTTGAAACATTGGTTGCCCTCGGTGAAGAGCAGAATAGTAAGTATTTAGGTTTTCTAGAGAAATGTGTGATGCTAAAATAGAAGATTGAACATTAGAAATCTTGCGGTTAGGAACCTGATGGCATAGCCACAAATAGACCATGTGCAACATGCTTTTGTAATTCCGGTACTAGATCTTCGGTACACATGGACTCGTGTAGCCCATACAGTATGATATGCTCTAACCTTTGCAGGAAAGAATTCTAAACATGAACTGCAGTAGTGAGTACCGTTTTCTTCTGTTTGGAAATGATTAGTTAACACTGTTTAAATTTACTTTTTCCCATTGTTAACTTTTATTTATTTTAGCACACTCATCGCTTTTATCAGATTGCTTCTACTAGCTCAACAAAGTTCATCTGTAAAGCTCAAGAGATTGAATTGTACCATTCAGAATATCTCAAATGTAGATGGAGCCAGTTGTTTGCTTCAGTACATAGAATACAGTATTTATAGTTTAAGTTCACTTATTCTCTAGTCAAAACAATGCCTTTTCTAAAGACACTCTGCAGACATTTGGCTTTAAATGCTGATAAAGTTCCATCTAAAGATATTACTGTTGGTTTTGTGTGGGTTTGGTTTTTTGTTGATTACCCCCCCCAACATACTTGCTGTCGGTATTTTTCTTCATTGATGATAAAACACAAAAGGTCTGTTTTCTGGAGCCCCATTCCACTTCTAGCACATTTGTTTGAAACATGTAAAATGAGAGAGTAACTGAAGTGAATGAGAAAACAAAGCATCTGATTTTTGTTAACGCTGGCTGGAGCCATTCACCCCATGAGTATGAATTTAGTCAAGAACTTTAAGGGGAAAATCATTAATAGTGTGATAACCTACAAAATTTTAGATAAATGAGTTTTTGTTAATTAATTAAACATTAATGTTTAAGTTCTTTGAGCTTAAAATTTACAAATAACACACTACACATTCCAAAGGCACACATGTATTCTTGCTAGATTTAAAAAAAAAAAAAAAAATAATTAAATTGCACTGTTGCTTAAGTTCATCTGAAAGAACATTTTTTGTTCTTTTGATCCCTGTGCCATTCTGGGTGGTGGCCTCATATAGGTTGTGCCTAACCCAAGAATAGCTGCAGTGCTAGTTTTTGGGTTGGAATCTTCTAGAATGGAGTAATAGAGCAGATAAATGTCCCTGACTTTTTTGTCAACATTGGCATGCTGACAGTGGTTCTGTTATGCTCATGGGGGATGCTGATGCTCGGATTCAATTGAACAATATTTCTGTCTGCCTCACAAGTGTTTTGAAATCTTTTAATACAATTAGCACTTTACATCTTACAATCTTTTATCAATGACCTGAAATCAGATGGTGCAAAAGCATCTTAAAAGAAGTATCAGGAAGAAAATAACTGTGATGAACAATAATAGAAGTCTGAAACGCAATCCTGGTAAGAAAGATTTGAGTGACCAAAGAATAAGAAATAAAATCTAAGTTTCAGTTGTTTTTTTATTTGATCATATTTTAATTACAGTTTTTATTGTCAGTTCTGAAAAGAAAATTACCCTTATCAGCCTAGTAACTGATAAAATTAATTTTGTTTTCTTCTCTGATACAGCTATTACTTTTTTTTTTTTTCCTTTCACTTTTAGGAGTCCAGTTGCTTGCTCTTCTTGTTCCTACTCTGATCTCTTATTTACTGAATGAAAATGCCTTTGCTTCTGCATCTACGGCATCTAAGGATCTTCATGAATTTGCACTTCAGAATCTCATGCACATTGGTCCACTTTACCCACATGCTTTCAAGACAGTAATGGGAGCTGCTCCTGAATTAAAAACACGTCTAGAAACTGCAGTCCGAGCAAGTCAGGCCAGCAAAGCAAAAGCAGCTGCTAGGCAACCACCACCCACAGTACATTCCACCCCAACAATTAAACTGAAAACTAGCTTTTTTTGAATTACTTTTGTTATTTTGGGACCGTTAAGTAGCCAGAAACATTACTTTATTATCCCTGATGTGTTACTGCATATATGTCTGTAATTATGTGTAATTTGTATGTGAAAGGCTGTCTAATAGAGCTTTGTGTAATTACTTGAAATCCATGCATTACAAGGGAAGAGGTGTTACTTGTATTTATATAGATTTTTAGGAAATGGAATGTGATCATATTTATGAATTTGTGTTATAAATTATCCACTAAAAAACCCTATTCTCTATCTGACTGAATAGTTTTATTTATTTTTAAAAGCTACTCCAAACCTTTGAGTGTTTTTTGAAATCTGGTGATTGTTATCTGACAGTTGTACCATCACACTAACAGAGTGGGGGTGGAGCGAAGAGGGGAAACTGTTACGAAGTACTTGCCACATAACATGGGGAATTTCAAGTGCAGAAGTATACACTTTCTCCTTTCAGACACAAGGTAGGGAAGGGGATTGTCAGACCTTGTAGATCATTTCAGTTTGCATGAAAAAAAGAATTGAAAAAATTCCAGCCTTTCTTGAGTTGGATGATCAAGCATGCTGTCTCAAAGAGTTGTCCTCATGTATGTGGTGTATAGTTCTTTCAGGTCCGTTTCCATGCTTGAAAAATAATAAAGGATGCAAAGAATCTATTCCCCTATCTCTTTTAAGAAAAGTTTTAAAGAATGCACTGGAAATTGAGTAGATAAAGAGAAATGCCTGCTATCTGCATTTTTGGCCCTCGTAAGAAGCTGTGTGCTAACAGCCTTCCTATTCTGCCAGACCCTGTTTGAGTATGATGATTCAGTGCTCTGCTCTTCATCCACACTCGGAGGTATTTAACTTCCCTGCAACATTTGAGTCTCAGTGAGTACCTTATCTGTAGTTCTTGATAAACTTTGCAGAGTCAAATTACTTGAGTGCTTTGCTAAATGTACTGACTAAGGGAGCAGAAAGCACGTGACAGCCAGGCTCTTCCAGCTTGTCATTCCCCTACCAACCTTTTCTTCTTTTCAGAATCACACAGCTCCCCCTCACAGATCGCAGAGTCCGGTCTGCAGATTTTGGAGCTTAGAGCTGAATTGCTGTGCTAACCTTACTGCACAGAGCCAGTGACTCTCACTGCCTGTCTGCCTGCCAGACCTCACCCTTCCTACTAGCAGAAGTGCAGAACCATGTATTTTCTTGTGTATACAAGACTGACTTCCATGAATTTGTTGACGCCACTGTTGAAATAATGGGCTTTTGGAGGGACCTTTCTATACATTTTGCTTTATAGAGGGAAGCTGCATCACTAGAAGCCCTGGCCAAGCCTGTTAAGTTTCATCTCTGATGTTTTCTGGATATTCTGTAAAAGCTGCGTATTTCAGAAGCTTCTATTTCAACCCACATATAACAAAGGAATAGTAAATAGAATTTAATATGATTAATTGGTGGTTGAAATATTTGCAGATTGTTATTTTTACATAGTCACTTGCCTCTAGTCTCTCTTTTCCCATAAGACTTTATGTAACTGTTTGAGGACCTATGCAAAATGGAGCACAAGATAGGGCTTTTTTGCCCTATTGTATTTGGTGTGTGCAAAATATGTAACATAAAATCAGAAAGCTTTTATTTCACAGTGAATATTTTAGTACTAAAGTGAGGATGCAGGTGGTGCATACTCTAATCTTTCAAATATTTTTTATATATATATATTTATATAAAGATGTTAACTTCCAAGTCTCATTCCATTGTCCTGTAGGAGTAAAGATACGTGCAGAAGTGAAAACAATATGCAGTATGGGAGGAGGAAAGTAATTTCACTACTTTTTTCATCTTCGTATGTGTAGTGGGAATTAAATGGATTAAAATACATCACTTTCTGTTAAGTGTTTTCAGCACTACAAAGCTCTGTTGCTTAGAAGTTCTGAACCTGTTTTTTAACATTTGATAGAAAGCATTAAGGAAACTCAGTTCTAAATTGAACACAAAAAAGTTGCAAGCAAAATTAAGAAAATTACTAAAACCTGTTTTATATACACTCCCCCACCCCCCTGCAGTCTAGTGATTAATTATTTTGATCTTTGAAGTTTGTGGGAAACTTTTTGTTTGTAATCAGATTTGATCCACCTTAATTTTTATCTCAGCACTTCTGTGTTTTGGTTAGACTCTTAATTTCCAAGGTATCTGAAAAATCAGAAAAGTGGGGAGGGCAGGGGGAGAAGTGTAGCAGTCAAGCATAAGAAGTCAGTAGAAAAAATAGCGGAAGGTAAAATGGCACTAGATAGATGTAGAGGGGTCGAGAAAAGAGGTTTTTCTTTGTATACTGTGTGACTGTATGCAACATGCACAACTCTCATTTGTGTACATCTTTCCCCAGTTTAGTCCTTGTTTGCTTCTTTGCTTATTCCTGATACTAAAGGTATAACGAAGTAGTTTTATATAATATTTTGGCATGAAATTTGATTTCATTAAAAAAAAGAAAGCCTAAGTAACTTGAATTGCCCGTAGTGCATATTGTTGTCACCACCCCTCTACAGCTTTTCCTTTGTCGACGACCTTTCTAGTGTGATTCTTCATGAAGCTCGTTTGCTCCATTTCCCCTCGATGTCTTTCCTCTCTCTGCCGTTTCCTTCCTTTGTGGGTGAGCCTTGTTGTTCTACCTCGGCTCCCTGCTGCGGTCCGCACAGTGCGCTCCCTCTTCTGTGCCTTT